ATCACTTTTTCGATGTCTTCATTACTTTGGATCTTAAAGACCGATATTTGCGTGAAATTTGTTGAATTGCGTGACATCGTTTTCACCGCGACGCGATCACCCCTTCTAAAACTCAGTAAAGCGCTATCGGGAAAACCCGCGATGTAGTCATCGGTGACCCATTTGGTTATAGGCAGCCAATCACATGCCGCCTAGCCATCACGCGCCTCTTGCGTGCCGGCACCTCGCATTTGGAATGCACTATCAAGTTTCTAGATCTAGGGTTTTATCAATGTATGGGTGGTAATTTTAAGTTGGTGGTACAGAAAATCTACTAAACGCAGAGATCTGAAATTTTATAGCAATAAAGAAGACATGTGGGGCGCTTGTGTGGTCGGCGATCAACCCGCAGCTCCGCTTAGTTTTCGAACCGCAGAGGAAATTCGCACAAACACGGCAATATCTCCGGTTCTAGTAATCGTTCGGGATTGTACGCTGGCATGTCGTTAGTTTAACCTTTCCTCTGGTTGGTTGCCGAGTTTCATTTATTTTCGTCCAGGAGTTTTCCTGTAACTAAACTTAGAAGAGTCACTTCTGATTCCGAGCGGCCCCAAAAATACCCCTCGCGCGGAGGCCGATTTCCGGCACAAGGCGCAGCGGGCGATTGGCATTGCTAAAGAGAGAGAGAGAGAGAGAATGAATGAAAAGAAGGAGGAAGATAATCTATCGTGAGTAGACAGATTTAAGCCGATATGCACGTGAAAAACTATTGCCGACCGAATGGCACAGATAGACAATGGCCCAGTGTACGAAATGCGCAATTGGCAGTTTCTAATACAACTTATTGCCGAGAGTTGCCGTAAATATCTGACAAGTTACGGAGGCAAGTGCTGATCTCTCTCTCTCTCTCTCATCTCAACGCATGGCGTTGATACGATGATGCAGCAAGTACGGAACTGACAGAAAGTACGGATTTCCGTAAAAATAAAGAGTGGAAGCACAGCAGAATGGTTTGGTTTTTTAAAAACTCTCTTGGCACCCATCGAAAATCCGGTAGTTTTGACACCTTATCGGTATGTCGGTAGAACAGGCCCAAAATCGGTATCTACCGGAAAAATCTGTAGATTTAGGCAGCCATGTGATCGTGATCCGAAAAATAGTGATGATCTAGATCTAGATCTGGTCAACAGTTACTGGCGAAGGAACCCCCCCGACCACAAAAATTGATGGAGGAAATACGACATCTATATTTGGGCCAACCACAAGAGGTATGCTTGGTAGGCTCCTTGCTGTAGCTTATTTTACAAAACTAAAAGACACTATTTTGATCGAAACGGTCGATCATTTGCACTGCCAGTGCTTCCACCAGCTGAAGCTGAAAAGTAAGGAATATTCTGCCGGGGGTCTGGGGGCCCCAGCAGGGTCCAGGGACAGCGTCCCGGGTGGGGGTTCAGGAAGCCCCCGAAGAGAGTTAATTTTAGTGCTTTTAGAGGGTTGAAAATGGCATTTGGGAGCCTGTTTGAAGAGATTGCCTAGAGCCCATAACATTTATTTTTTCACCAACATTTTATCTTGTTTGATTTCTTCACCAACATATCTTTCCATTGCTGGCAATGTTTAAGAGCAGGTTCCCCTTTAATTGCTACTATAATTCAATTAATTTGTAGTCGCACCATTGATAGCAGGCAAACCTGGGTATAATGAATAGATGTACCTTCAAAATACAGTTGCGCAGGGTACACCCAAATTTTTTCTCAATTTTCCCGTCTGAATGTCGCCTGTCACAACCTCGGAACACCACTTCGAATTATTTTTTATTTTACCTACGGCTGGATCGGGCCAATCGCCCGAAACTGAAAACAAACACTTTTGAGGCGGTCGAGTCATCGGACCGATCCCATCCGTAGTCTCGTGTAGTGGGCACCCGTGTATAAGCATATTATTATTTCTTTCATCGCGGCCCTTATTGCGTTCACGTGCCGTAGAATCTTCGCATTGATAATTACTCTAGATTTAGATCTAGACAAATTTGCAAAAAAAAGTTTCTTTCTGACAGTAATTTTTTTGTCTAAGTCTAAGATCACAAGTCAATTTACTTGATCAACGCGCAGATTTCCAGCCGCGGCAACAATCCGAAGATAGACAGAAGGAATGAGTGAATGATAGAAAGGAGGAAATTGGCATTAAAGGTTCGCCAGATTTTGATCCATCTGCAGGTAAAAAATGTACTGCCGACCAACCCGCAATCAATCCAAGGGACAAAGCGCAATAATGGCCGATTGCAGGAAAAGCGCAATAATGGCCGATTGCAGGAAAAGCGCAATCTGGCAGGTTTCAATAACTTTAACTTGTTGACAAGAGAATTACCATAAGGGAGTGTATACAGACCCGATAACCGGGAACAAAGTCACGAAGTATACAGACCCGGTAGGGGAACTCTTTTCTGAATTCGGAAAGTTTCAGCGCCCTCTTGGCTCAGGGCAAACCTAGGTTATTCTAATTTATGGCCTAGGTCTAGATCTAGATCTAGGCAGACGGACATAAATCTTTGGTCGTTTCGAGGCTACCCTAAATCGATCTAGATCTAGATATCCAAATGAAGATTGCGGATGTCTTTTCGATGAACGATCGTTTATCCTCCGTTTTGGAGTTGGAGGAATCACAATTTGAAGAAAAGAACAACGTCATAATTTTAATCGAGCAGCCACCCTCTGTATTTCTCTTCCCCTCTCTCTCTCTCTCTCCTCTGTGTGTCTCTCGTCTTCTCTCTTTCTTTCTTTCTCTCTTTCTTTCCCTCTTTCCCACTTTATCTTTCTCTCGTTCCCTCCTGCCAACTGGGGCATGT